GGTTTTGATTAAAATTTGCAATTAATTAAAAAGTTTATTGACGAATAAATCGCCTACTTGCTTTGTTTCAGCAGTATTTTTAAAGTCAAGTTTTGACACATTTTACAAATCGTCAAATCTGAAGAAGAATGCTTATTTACCCAGAACCCTGTCAAATGAGTCGACAGCTATCTTCGCTCGTACAGTGCTGAAAAGTGTAGCTAGGTCAGGGGGCCGATGAGGCGTTTCCGCCCTCTGAAGCCTAGACGGTGTGCAAAGTTGTTCCGTTTCTTGCCAATACCTTGCATATTCGTTGACAGCGTCAATTGCTAAAAGGTGTTGAAACCCACTCAAAACACTGTCTTAGTTCATCAGCAAAAAGCATCAAAGTGATAAATAACCCACGGTTTCCTCGCAATGCCTTCTCATCGTTAGTATACCACCCACGGGCACTCTGTATCGCCCTGCCGTTTTCGTAGTTGTTCAAGAGGAAGTAGAGCAACGACGGGGATAGGGTGGGTCGTTTCAATCGAAGCTGCTCCCATGACATCTGAGTAAAGTAAACACAGTCACCATGGTTTGCTAGAAAATTTGGTAGCTTATGGGTAAACTTAAGCTTTGCATAGCTTTTTCATATGCGCTTCCATGTTTTTCGAGGAAGTGCACAAAAAACTCTGACGTAATGGTACTTCAAGCGCATAGTGAAGGGTTTTATGTGACCAAACTCCTCAGCCGTGCTTTTCATCGAAAGTGGAGGCTCTACTAGGCTGATTGGAGTGTTTTAGGTTCATAAGATTGACCATAAAGAAAGCCGGTCATTTAACTGTTGGTCACATTTCTAATTAGCGGGATCTCTTCATTCATCATTCTTCTTTGCAAAAAAGGTCCTCCAGAATTTAGGCATCCACTTCACACTACTCACGCAAGGTGGGATCTGCATAACCCTTCAAAACAACCCAACCAGTTGTGAGTACAAAATCACACTCATAGAAATGCAACTCGTGATCCCAGTTCAGTCGAGGGCACAATCTTGTGATGCCGTGGAGGGTGATTTGTCAACAACTTTCATGAAGTCCCATTGTGAGAGGTTAAGCAAATTACTTCCAAAAAGAAGACTCCAGTAGGCCGCCGAATCCCCTCCAGTAACGCCCAAGAAGTTGGGGAATAGATTGGCCCATTTGACCGTGGTGATCCAAGTGTATGTTGAGATCCCAAAAATCTTCACAAAGTCACATGCCTCCACGCTTACAAAATTGAGTCCTAAGCCGCGTCTTTGCACCTGTGAGCAGCTCATGCTCTCCCGCACAACCGACTTGTTATGCATCAGACAATAAGAGGCCTTGAATATCACCTTTGTGTCACTAAATATTTGACTTGTTTAAAGCAAGCGAATGTCTTAGAAGTAGAAATCCATCTGTTGTAAGTGACCAGCTTTCTAACTTATGTTGCAAAAAATTGCTCAAAACTAGCCCCTATGCCAGTCTCTGGTGTCTGCTTGAGC